CCCCACTGCTTGCACGGGGTCACCCAAGAAGCAAGGTCATCAGGTTTTTGAATCCAAGTGAGCTGGCCGCCTGCCCTTGGTGGTCTGAAAGGCAGAGAGCTGGGTGAAAGGCAGCTTCAGGGGTGCCAGCAAACCCAACACTGACGTCCAGATGGGCTCCACTGAGTGCGCCCTGCCCCTCGATGTGACCCCTTCAGTCTGAGGCCCTCCTGCGGCTGTTCAGGGGAATTGGAGGCAGGAGCCTGTTTTCATGAGAGCAGTTTCCCTGATGCAGCGAAAAACTGGTGCAGCTCTCAATGATAAAGCCCGCGCAGGAACAGAGGGTCCTCTCAGAAGCAGGAGGCGGCGGGTGCAGCCTACTTGCCTGCATTTGCCTTCTCCAAAACCGCGTGTCCCCCTAGTGAGTGGGTGCTTGTCGGGAGCGGAGGCTCCTGCCTGTGGGGGGATCTGAGTGGGGCGTGGCCAAGGGGGGGTCAGTGCCTCGTGTTCGGGGCAGGGGGCATGTCTGGGTGCCCCTTGGCATCACAACGGCCTGTCTGGTGCCACCCTGATAGCCCCAGCAGACTGCAAAACTCGCGTGGAAGCCCCGTTGGGGCTACATTGCTCTGGAGCGATTTGTACCTGCTGCCCTCATAGGGGTGACATTTCTGCAGATGGTGGGGGGCAGGCAGGAAAGGCTGCGGCATCTGCAGCAGGGTTCATGCTTCCTGGCAGCTCTATGTCTGCGTGGTCCGTGGGGACAGAGGAAACATGTGCAGCCCACAGGAGGGTTGGTGCTATGGGGCACCTGGGGCCACTTTCTATCCTCCGACCTCTGGGGAACGTCGGAGCCCACCGCCAACGCCTCAGTGTGTGTGGAGCTGGGGCAGGTGATGTCCCCACTTTGGGAGGCCAACAAGGGGCCAGTCAGCCCCCTTTGCGGTTGATGCCCTGTGACCTGCAAGATACATGCCACTGGGTCTGGATAGAGCCTGTCAGCAGAGCCAGAGAGCCTGTTGGCTCCAACATTCTGACCCAGGAGCTCTCACCACAGTCCATGCTGACTGGATGCATAGTCTGTTCATGAGGCCAGGCTTTGCGTCAAATCACAAAACAGGTCTAGGAGGGTCCCGTTCTTAGTAAAACTGCAAAGGAAATGAGCTGATTGCAATGCTCCCTTCCATCATGTCACTGCCCTCAGAGCCAGAGGGAGCTGAGGACATGGGACACGGGGAACATGGAGGGAGGGCACAGGGCACAGAAGACAGGCCACAGGGGACACGGGGGGTACAGGGGACACAGAGGGCATGGCGAACATGGGGGCTGGGCTGCAAATGGAGGCAATATGATAAAAAGCGAGGTCAGGGGCAGCGCAGGGAGTTAAAAGTCTTCAAGAAGGCATCAGCAACCAGGAAGCGTGTTAGAGGGATGTCATGTGTGTGGTGCCTACCAGTAAACTAGAAACATTTGGACCACAGCAAAAGAACGTGGGGCTTAGGGTATGAAACATGGGCCATCTAAACGTGTAGGCGTCTCTAGAGGGGCCGAGGGACGAGGAGAGTGAACAGAAAAAGCCATGGCTGAAATCCGCTTTGGAATTGCCTATGTGCTTCTACAACTAGGGAATCAAAGCAGCGGGCATGTTTTGCAGCTGAAAGTGGGGGTGGGCAGTAGCTGGAAGGAGACAGCTTCAGCTCCGGCTGGCGTGGGACGCGGTGCACAGGAGCACTCCCCTCCCCACCCCGGGACTCCCGTCCTCCCCCCTCCCCTGCTGTGTCCCCCCCAGCTGCACCCTCCGCTGCCTGGGTGGGAGGGATCTGGGAGGGGCTGCCTGTTCCTGTGGCCTGAGCTGGGGTCGCTGGGTGGGGTCTGGAAAGGCATTAGGGTGAGAGCACAGCCAGCCCAGAAGGTGGGCCCAGCGCCGGCTGCTTGTGGAGTCCCCACTGGGCATCTTCCCTGGGGCACTGGGCTCCGCAGCAGGCCAGGCTGCTGGGAGCAGGAAGCCTGTGCCCTGCGTGGTTCATGTTGAAAACTAAGGACGTCCCGCCTGCTCCCGCTGGAGGCCACAGCGCAAGCACCTTTGCACCCACCCACAAGCCTTACAGGCCCGTGCTGGCTGAGCTGTTCCTAATCCGCATTTCTGTTCGCTCCTCTGCCTGCAGCCCAGGTGGAGAGGACCCCAGCCTGGCTGACCCTATGAAGCTCGGGGCGGTTTTCCATAGCAATGCTGTTTGGGAGAGTGGCAGCCCCTCTGTGTGCCTGTCGCTCACTCAGTGCTTGCTCACTCAGTGTTATGGGGCATGGGGCCTCGGGCTGTAGAAGCATGGGCCTGCAGGCCTGACCTGGCACAGGACCTCCAGCTACCAGTGTTCTCCTTCAACACGACGAAAGAGACAGCCGGCCCCCAGGGCTCCCATGCTGGTCCCGGAGGCAGGTGCTCAGTGCTTCCCTGGAGCCCTTGCCTGGCGCTCAGATGGTCCTGCTGCTGCCCCTGCGCACCCCCACTGCCTCCTGCTCCTCCACACCACAGCGCACCGCCACCTCATCTGCAGCTGGGGAGGGCAGCGTGCCTCCCAGAGACCTGGACCAGCTGGGCCTCTCCATGTGTGTCCATCACAACCTCTGTGATGCACTAAGTCCCCGCCAGGCTGTCCCTGGGGTGGGAGTGTCCCTTCCCCCCAACAACAGACCCTACTGTGCATCCCACCTGCTGCGTATACCACTGTGCCTCCCCAAAGCGTGGCTGCACCACGGCCCCAGCTACACCCGAGCAGTTTTCTCAGGTAGTCATTTGTCTTTCCCCACCTTCCCTCAGAAGCACACCGCATGCCAGCTCTCGGCAACAAAGCCCACTTTGCTCAGCCTGGGCACCCGGCCCTGGTGGTCTGCTGGATGGCAGGTCTGGACCCCCTCAAGAGGACCCCTGGCCTGGATGTGAGGAGGGTGGGCAAGGCCTCCAGCCATCAGCAGTTAGCTCGCTGGGCCCACCTCGGCCAGCAGGGCCCGCTCTGGGGGCCCAGCGGGGTGGTGGAGCTGGGGAGTGCACGTTGTGGGTTGAGGCCTGGCTGCCTCTCTGCCACGGGTCCTGCCAGGCACATCCACACAGCTGGCAGCCGTGGGACCAAGGAGCCTACCCGCAGAGCGGAAGGGAGGCAGGACTGAGAACCTGACCTGCCGGCTGGGGGCCAGGTGCGTGCGGCATCCCGAGCAGTGACAGATCGGAGGACAGGGGACCTGGCGGGACACAGTACCTGGGGGTCATACTCTGTGCAGTGGGAAAGCCTGTGCAGAGGGAAGAGCTGACAGCAATCAGCAATTGCTCACAAAGGAGGGAGCGCCAGAGTCTCTGCACACGTGGGAGCGTGTCTCACAGGGCAGAAGAGCAGAAGATGCAGCAGAGAATCCCGTCGCCCACTGGCTGAACTCGGGACGACAGGCACCCCTGCAAGATGCTTGGCAGATCTCTGGGTATCCTGAACGGTGACTCAGGACCAGAACTCTCATGTGCACGGGCCCCCGAGTGTGACTCCCCAGACTGTTTGAGCCTGCAACGTGCCCCAATGGGGTTACCAGCACACCCAGCAGGGACCTGCTGGGCCCCCCAGAAGGGGCCGCCCCAGGCCAGACTCAGGGGCGCCATCAAGTGGGCTAGGAAATGGGCACACATTGTCGAGCTGCAGCACTCAGCCCTAGCTCAGCCCATGGAGGCCTGGTGAAGCTGAGGCTGTGCAGAACCACGGTGGGGGCAGCAGCGCAGGCAGGCAGCAGTAGGCTGGAGGGGACGTTTCCTCAGCCCGTGCTGTTAAGACCAACACCCCTGGCATGGGGGCAATCCCAGTGGGGTTCCTGTCTGTGGGTGTGAGCCATCCTGGGGCCAGACCAGCAGAAACCTCAGGAACTGCCCCCCAGGGTAGTCAGTCAAGACCAACGCCTCATAGAGGTAAGGATACACGGTGCCCGACCCTCTCTGCTCACACATTGCCTAGCCCTGTAGAAACTGTGGCCTGGGATGACCGTGGGCTCCCTTGGGCCTAGCCGCATTGGCCCGTCACCACACCTGTGTGCCAGGCATAGTCCCACGGCTGTGCCAGTCCATGCAGCCTCAGGCCTCGGCCCACATCACTGACTTGGCAGACTCCACAAGGCCTGGGAGGCCGCACGCACGGCTTCCACACCCTGCAGACTCCCTGGGGACCACACTCTGGCCATTCCTCACCGAAGAGTGGGCTGCCTGTCACACGGACACAGCTCCACCCCACATCCCCTCCCCATCCTGTTCCCCAGGATGAGTGGTGCCCAGCCATGAGCATCTTGGGGTTTGGCCTCCACCCAGAAGCCTCCCATGAGGAGCCACGTTCTGCGTCCTCGCCCCTGTGCCCACCATCTCCAGCAAGGCCCCAGTCCAGAAGGGCATGTGGGTCCTGAGTGAGCGCGACGGGCTGAGCATCTTGGTGTCCCTGCCCCATGCTACCCATCCTGCAGATGCACATGCCCACCCAGCTCGTGGGGCAGTAGGGAGCATGGGGCAGGGCTGGCATTCCACTCACCCTCTCCACTGGGATCTTGGGGGCACCAAACCTCCCAGCTCACCCCACAGAGCAGTGCTGACCTCTGACTGGCAGCATGTCGGCACAACAACAGAACCTCTGGGACCCACTTTCTGGGAACAGGTCTTAGTCTGAAGGACCCCCCCCGCCCCCTCAGAAACCTCATCCTCTGCACCCAGTGTCCCCACCCTGCTCCTCCCTTCCACAGGGAACCGAGACATCCAGCATTTCAGAGGCAAATCTGTGAAATGCACTTGCTCCAGGGTCCCGATCCTGAAGCATGGTGCATCCCCTCACCTTCTCCTGAACCTGGGGCCCACGGACCCCACTTTCACCCACCTTTTAAGGGTCTCAGGGAAGCCAGGGAGCCCAGGACGGCAGGAGGCACAGGAATGGGCCTGTGTGCCCTCCTGTTTGTGCAGCTCCCCAAGAGCGACAGCCTCCTACACCTGAACCCATCAACCAGGCAAAAAGTAAGCAAGTGATTTTTAATGCCACTCTAAGCACCAGGGAGTGGGATGAGAATGAAAATGGGAAAATCCTGGGAAAGCTTCATACTTAGAAAGTCCAATGACAAGAAGGTAACATGCTCAGAACACTCGTGTGGAACTTACTTCATGATTAAAGCAATCTCAGTGCTTGTGGGCGGCGGCTGCTGGCCAGCATCTCACACCTGCTCACATCAGGCCGCTGCACAAATGGGAGAAGAACCTGTGTCTCGCTGGCCAGGGCCAGGGCAGCAGTGGCCCCACACAGGACCCCACCCGATGTGCAGAATGCCATAGCCAGACTCCTTCTCAGTTCCTGTAGCTTAGGAGCAGATTCTCATTCCCTCAACAGCCTCTGAGACATCTGCCCTCAAAAAGACGAGCTGGTGCCTGGCGGAGGCAGAGTCCGGTTTCCAGCACAGAGGCCAGTAGGAGGACAGCTCTTCACAGAGGCAACAGGACTGGAGTTATCATCTTGAAAGTAGTGAAAATGAGGGGCCATCTTATAATGGGAAATTAAAATACGTGCAGACTAGGCACTGCCTTCCTGCATGTCTGGGGTTTCTGGCTGGTGGCCAGACATGCTCAGAGAGCCCTGAGGCAGGAAGCCCAGATGCACCTCAAGATGAGAGCTTCTTCCTCTCTTCGAACTGCCTGTCCACTGCCAGGGACAGGGCCTGGAGGAAGCCCTCGATGGTGACGGTGGGGGCCTGTGGGCAAACAAGGCAGAGTGGCCATCCTCGCCCTCCCCACCTGGGCGCAGACGGCAAGGGGGACCCTCAGGTCACCATTCTGCCACCTGAGGTGGCCAGCGAGGACCTGGCGTGAGCCCTCTGAGCGCCGTGGAGCCATGAGGGACACCAGTGCAGCCACCTCCTCCCAAGCCATCCCTCCGCAAACCAGAGAACAGGTTGCCCAGGGCGGGGCCAGCCATGGGGAGGGACGCACCTGGATGTACAGCGCGTGAGCCAGGAAAGGGAGCTTCCTCAGGACGCGGCCGCTGAGGCCCTCGCTCTTCCTGCAAACGTATCCAGACGTCACGTCCACACCACTGGCGTGGTGGGCGGTCTCAACTCTGGAGGGCCCTTCCCCACCCCTCAGTGGGGCTGGTCACGCCACGCCTCAGCTACTGCTCCAGAGGAGGTGGGGTCCCCACGGCTGCCAGCGAGTGCAGGGACGTGGCCCTTAGCACAGACACCCTGTGACCTGCTGGTCCCTGTCATCGTGAACCTTCGCATGCGTCTCTGAGACACTCTCATCTCTCACCCAGCATTAAGTTTCTTTAACAGATAATCCAAAAATAACCTTTAAATGTGGCTGTTCTTCGTGCCATGCCTCCTTTAGGACCGCCCAGGCGCCTCAGGGCTTCAAGGGCAAAGCCCACTCTGGTCAGAGCCCTGGGCGCCCTCTGGAGTGCATGCCCTCAGAGGCCCTCACTCATGACTGGCTCCTGGTCCCCAGGCACTGAGCGCCTCGGGCCCAGGGTTCATGGACATCCCCAAAGACCAAGCAGCGGCCCTGCGCTTGCTCGCTCTGCCCACTGAAGCAAAGGCTTCTTGTTTTGTTTTTTTCCTGCCAATTTGAAAGAATTTTAACAAAGTTCACTAAATTGCTAATGCATCCAGAGCCTTGCTATGATCACCTATCCTTCTGCACACAAACGACGCACCTTCGTGTCCCGAGGGCACCTGGGCAGCTGCCCTCCACCCTCGGTCCAGGAGTGCGGGGTGGGGGCCCTGGAGGTCCTGCAGGTGTGCAATGCCTTGGGCTCCAGCTCCCTGCCCTCTGGCCCCAACCCCACTCCCCGCCTGCTGTTGTCACCACAGCAGGTGGCCTGTCCTGCTCACAGGAGTCTGCGCACCTGGAAATCTCGCTCAGGAAGAGGCTCAGCTTGGATACGTTGTTCTCGATGAAACCAATCATCTCGAGCTCGCGGAGGGTCAGCAGTTGCTGGCGAGGGTATATGATTTGACACTGTGGGCACAGGGAGGCATCAGCGCATGGCAATGCCCCCATCCCAGCTTCACAGCATCACATGTGGTAAGAAACACACGACAGCATCCACTCTCGGGAGTGGCTGGGACCAGCACTTCTGTGCTTTTGGCCAAAACGTGTCCTTGTCATGTGCTGGGATGGGGGGGGAGTGGGGTCTGACCTGGGACTGGATCTCAATGACACATTATGGCCCACAAAGGGGCAGAGTTGGGCCTAGAGCCAGGACTTCACCTGCCTTTAGAAGGTCTCTGCTCACTGTCTGGTGTAAGACTCGCTTTAGAGACGACACAGCCTCTGACTGGGGACCGCGGATGGCGTCTGCATGCTGGGGCTCTCGGCCAAGCAGGTGCGCCAGTCAGGCCACCATGCTGACCACTACTGAGCTAATAAACCGTCCTGACCCGGGAGCCGGGAGGACGGCAAGGGAGCAGCTTTCCCCGCATGTCCTGGGCACTCACTGAACACTGGGGGTGTTCTAACAGGCCTTGGGCTGGAAGGTCCTGCTTTTCTGCCTGGCTGATTGGTGCTCCTCAAGCCCCACAGCCCCCGTGAGGCACTGTCCAGACAGTGGCAGAGCAGCAGGCCGCAAGCTCCATGGACACATGAAAACAGCCTTCAGGGCAGGCCAAACCCCCTCTCTGCCCCCCCGACTGTCTTAACTTCCTGTAAGCCGTCTAAGAAAGCCCCAGCCCCAACCCATCACCACCTGCAGGATGCTGCTCCTCAGTAGCATTGCGGCCGGGCCCCTCCACGGTGCGGGGTGGCAGGTGGCTGCTGCAGGGCGAGGCAGACCCCACCCCACTGTCCAGTTCAACGTCCTTTGACAACCACCACCAAATCCTCATTGTACGCTGGTTAGGTTACTGTTTCCCCGGAATCAAAGTTGGGGGAACATGCTGGGGACCCAGAGCCCAGAGCTCCAGCATCAGGCACGAGTCATGGGAGACCTACTATGACCTATGCTCACGACCGACGGGCTCATTGCTGCCACCAGCGCACAGGGCCAGACACACAAGGACACCGCAGCTGGCAGCAGCCTCTCCAGGAAACCTCCCTGTGGACTAGGCTCCCACCCATGCATCGCCTGCAGATCGGGAGACTGAACAATCACAAGATCACTTTGTGCTGAAAGAGCAGAGCTACTGAGTGGTCACAGCTCTTGACTGTCACCTCAACCCACCAGACACAACACTGTGGTTTTCCACATGAGAAGACGGTTGACACCATGTCCCAGTGCTTTGCTCTGGGTTGGACTGGCCATTCTGAGCCAAGTCAGGGAATTACACGAGCTTAAGGAACCTACCAAAAGGAGAGGGAGAACTGCCATTACCTTCATCAGCTCTTCTAGGCAGGACAGGTAGATCTTGAAGATGGCGGCCATGGAGGGCAGCCCCACGTACTGCCTGATGTCGGCCCGGTCCACGAAGGCCACGTCAATCTTCTCCGTGATGTTGGAAGTGGTCAGAATCACCACATTGGAGTGTCTGCAGGCAGAGGGGAGCACGGCCAGTGGGCTCATCAGTGGCTTGAGAATGTGCCCCACCCCTGTGCTCCGGGTGCTCAGCCTGCACCTCCAGCTGGCCCCAGTCTGTGCCCAGCCACCCTGCAGGCTCTCCTGGCCATGAGACGGCGTGCTAGGCCGACTGTCCCCATGCTCTTGCTCTGGTTGCTCCTCTGCCTTCCGGAGAGCTCCCCCAGACTGCCACTTGAACACTCTTCCCTGCCTTCTACTGGGGCAAAATTCTCCTGGCTCTGTGCAGGTGCCTGACCATCCCCCTCCTGGACCTGTCAGCTGGGCATGGCCACACGACTGCTGGTCACACAGCTCTCGTGACCCCAGTGTGCCACAGCATGGAATCAACTACCTCCTTTACCAGCTACATTCTCCTCTAGCCCACAGACTACACAAGAGAGCCACCAGAGCCCGGCCTGCTCGTGCCACAAGCTGCACAGAGCAGGCACAAGGCCCCCAAGGAGCACACCTCCTCCGGGGCCCAGGTCAGCGCAGACGGGCCGCAGGCAGTGTATGTGTGGGCACCCGGGAGGGCCCCCTTCCTTGGTGCAACAGGAGCATGGCACAGGCTGAGCAGGGGGAGAGCCCAGTGAGGGCAAGAGCAGGTGTGGCAGCCAGGAGGGCACAGGCTTCTCTGGGCTGCCTGGGGGTGCCACGGAGCACCGGCCAGAACCATGCCCAGGCAAGGGCTTCACCACGCAGTCAGATCTGCATAGGGCAGGAGTGGTGGGTCATCAGGGGAGGGGAGCTAGGGCGTGGGGCCACGTGAGGCACAGCCAGTGAGAGGACCAGTGGCGTGAGCATCTGTTCCCTCCTAAGCCCTCACCCCAGCAACAGGAGGGGAGTCAGGGTGACCCCATCTTCCGGCTTGAATAGCAGGTACCTGGTGAGGCCATCAATGTGTAATAGGAACCCCAGGAAGTTGGGGGTTCTGGGCCAAGCAAGTAGCCTGGGAGTGTGTCTGTCAGGTCATGGGGGAGGTATGGGTCTGCAACAGGGACATGCCCACCAGAGGGTAAGTGTCTCTAGAGGCCGCAAGTCAAGGCTGCGGGTAGGCTGTGCAGGGTCCCCTGAAGGGACGGCAGAGAGGTGGTCAGGAGGGATCAGAGGGGGTCAAATGGCACAGGAAGTTCCCAGAAGGCAAGGCTGCACACTTGGCTGGACAGGTAGGGGAAGGGTGAGAAGAGTAATCGACCCCCCCAACTGACAACACCCCAGGGGCCCAGTATTCCCTTGTGAAATGGTGCGGCTGCATCTAACGCTCCTCAGCATGATTTAGTTCCCTGCCACCCCACACTCAACAAGCTGGCTCTGGGCAGGGCTAGTGCCCTGGCACCCTGAGAACGCGAGGCTTCTGGCCAGCAGGGGGAGCGCCAAGTGCCACAGATGATAGACTGAGGCTCTGGTCTGCACATCGCTCCCTCGAGTCAGGCTAGCAGCGTCACTTCACTCCCTGAAACTGGCTCGACCGTCAGGACGCCTGGACCTGAAAGCCTGGACGGGGGGCATGTGAAATCCGGCCTCACGCAGGGCAGGTGACGCCGCCAGAACCCCAGGGCCCGCTGGCACCACGCTGGAGCAGGCAGCGGCACTCCTCTCGCGTGTCCCTGTGAGTTGGCTTCACCATGCCTAGCCTCCACTGCATACTGTACCTTAGCAAAGAGCAATCGGTTTCTACACGATCACCCCGAGTAGAGGCTGTGTCAGAGGTGGAAGAGCAACACGCAATGCCGAAGAGTTGCTGCTCAGAAGAGCAGGTTGCATAAATTTGCTGTGTCCCAGTGCGTTACCTCTTAATCTGGTCGATTTGGGTCAAGACAGCATTAACCACGCGGATGGCATCTGAGGGCTCGGTGCCTGCCCTGCAAGCGCTGCGGGCGGCCGTGAGGCTCTCCACCTGGGGGGCAGCAGGTCAGCAGGGATGGGTGTGAACTGAGCGGCCAGAGGAGGAGAGGGATGGGTGCACCTGCAGCGGCCCTGAACACCCGCCCAGGTGCGGCACGGACAGGCCTACCTCGTCAATCAGCACAAACACCAGAGCATCTTTGTCATCAATCAAGTCCTGAATCTTCTGGAACATCTTGGTCACCAGCTTGCCACTCTGGAGCCAAAGCACTCAGTGTTGACAGGCTGCCAGGACCGACGGGCACCCACCATTCCCCACTCCCCTCCACCCAGGAGACCATCAGGGCCCCCCACCCACCCTAAACCACAGAAGCCAGGTCCACACAGGAGGTCCGCCCAATGCCCTCCCCCTCACTCCGCGCGCTGGGACACGGAGGCCAGGGCTGGGCAGCACCTTGCTCCTCAGCTCCCAGGTGTCCCCTGTGCATGACCAGGATGAGCTGGGCCACGGATACAAGTGTGCAAAGACTGGGCGCACCACTCACAGCTCCCCACCCCCACTCGCCACCTGCCAGTGAGCCTGCTGACCCACTGCCTGGGGTGGAGCCCTGCCGAGGCGAGGCACCCCTGTTCAGACAGCAGGGGGAGGCTCAGAGCCCCAAGACAACTGGGAATGAAGGCGGACCCCTCCTGAGAGGGTACTGGCTGCCCTGCCTCCTAGCCAAGGTCTGGGCGGGACTAGCGGAGGGTCCTCCCAGGCCTCAGACTACTTCTGAGTCACCATGAAGCCCTCAATTTTCCCGTGGCTGCAAACCCACCCACAGTCCATGTCCCCACTCTCTCTTTCTCTCCTAGTACAGAGGACACTTTTCCACCGAGATGGGTGACAATTCAGAGAAACAGAATCATCAATACTTACCTCTGAAAACCACTTGGAGAAAAGGCTGTGGCTGTTTATCTCAACCAACTGGCCGTAGCGGTACCTGGGGTAACAAGTGGTCATCAGGCAGCACGTCACACACCCTGCCTCCCCGCCCAGCACGTGGGCCACACCAGCTGCCCAGATCCCATCAGAGTCGCAGGGGGTCTGGGAGCCTAGCAACCCGCACCTCAATGGGTACAAAAACTGGGCAACAAGCAGTCAGCAGTGCGGCTGAAGCAAAGTAAGCCTTTTGAGTTGAATAGTACCTTCACTTGGAGTAAAGCAATTACAAAATCCCTTTTTAAATTTACTTAAAACTTACATTTCTATGTTTAGGAGGTGTAACTGGCACTAACAGAACAAACAAAACACAAGTCTCAAAGACTTCTGGCCAAGGCAGAACACGCTCCTGCCTTCCAGGTGACCCTAACGAGTGACCACTAGTTCTCCAAGCAGATGTGCTTCCTGCAGACTCTCGGGCCTGAACAGCACTCTGACGCCCACGGCGGACCTTTACACTCAGAGATGTGGATTTGGTGCCTGGGCAATCCTGAAGGCAAACTTCAACACGCAGAGAGGGGGAACTGGTGTCCGCGCGCTCACCCAGGAGGCAGCGAAAAGCTGGATGCACCACACTAACCCACAGGAACAAGACGTGGCAGGACGCCGCCTCCCAGGCCTGCATGGTTCCTCTTGTGCCCACAGTACATGCAGAGAAAAACGCCTCCCAGGGCACTGCTGGCTTTCCATTCACTAAATGCGTTTGCGGAGGAGGGCAGCGGGCAGACGCCCTCACACACAAGGTAACAATTGGGTTGAATACTAAACAAAGCTCATTCTAAGGGATTTTGATGAATGGAGTGAGGTAGGAGCTTCTCTGGGGTCCTTCGAAGCCATGGAATACACACATCCCTAGGTCTTTGTAGGGAAAATGCCACAGTGGTCTTTCCTCTGTTCTTTCAGGAAACTGCCCCAGAGGTCTTTAAAACACAAGGCCAAGGGGCTAAGCATAAAATAAAGGGCAGAAATAGAGTGATTTACCTGTGTAAAAACACAAGAAATTTTAGAAAAGAACGAAAATAGGTATTCAGAATAAACCTCATGGGGTTTCCCCTTCTAAAGTCGTCCCGGCCTTTACAGGTCCCAGACACCCTTTGCCTTAATCCACAGAAAACCAGACAAATCCAATGAGAGGTCAGGGGAGGGTGGGGGGGATGGTAGCTCTGAGGGCTGGGCCCCCAAGAAAGAGTGAGGGTACCCAGGAAGATCGCGAAGTAGTGCTTAGACGAGAAGACAGAGGTCAGAGTTCAGGGAGCCTGAGGGACGAAGGCCACGGAGCCCCTGAGGGAGGGAGATGCTCAGGAACAGGGCTCCGCAGGCCTCTCTGAACCCTGGGCTCGTGAGCTGGGCAGTCCCACCAGGCTGGAGCTCCACACACTGACTGCCTCCTAGGGCTCACGCAGACTGGGGGTTTGAGTTCTCAAAGGTCGAGTGTGTGGTTCCCCAACTCACGTGGGTACTCCCCTAGGACCCCAAGGGCTTCACCTGAGTACCCAGACTAGATCCAACCCCCCTACCCCAGCAAGACTCATGCCGCAGCAAAGTAACTGAGGTGCCGTCCAAACCAACCCCAGTCTTCAAGAACAAGAACAGAGCCGCTCAAGCGCACTATCTGCACCATCACATGCCAAGCAGCAGAAGCATGTGGCCACAACCAGAAAAGCCGAACAGACTCGGAGATAAGGACGACAGGAGCAGTGGACGAGAAGGCGCACAGCAGCCACACACCCATGCGAGAGCTTCAGGAGACACGCAAGGAGGCAGGAGTGCAAAAGGGACCACTGGGACCCAGGAAGAGCAGCACCCCACCCAAGACGGCGGGCTCGCCGGGCGGTGTGCAGGGTGCTGTCCATAACGGACAGGAGGCCCAACGAGCTGAAGAAGCCAGCTAGCATGTCCATGGGCCTGTGGGGTGGCACAGGAGGCCCGACAGGGAAACATGTGGATGCCAGGACGGGGGCAGGAGGGAAGTTAGCCTGAAGAGCTGGCCCAGTAGTTTCCAAAGTGAAGAGGCAGATGGAGCTCAGTGCACCACTCAAGCCTGTACCCTCTGCTCATAAGTCATGGAACTGCAGGCGATGGGCACAGATGTCAAGCAACCTGAGCTGACATTCTACCCGGGAGCAGAAACATGCTCTCGGCACAGGTGGGTCAGTGGTGAGGCTCCAGTTCAAAGAGCAGAGTCCCTCCTGCAGGCCATGCCGAGTTTATGTTGGGAAGGCCTGCTAGTCATGTGAAACGATGGAAAAGAAATGACAGTTCTCACTGACGCAAAGGAAAGCAAGCACTCCCATCCCTGCTGCTCTCCCCCCTCAAACTGCCAGGAGTTACCTGCTTGAAAGCCTAATGGTCAATTTCTGGGCTAATGCTTTACACAGGGAAGTTTTTCCAGTTCCTGGAGGACCTGCAACAAAATCCAAGTAAATACGCTTTTAAGTCAGAGCTGAACACATTTCTAAGGACGCTGTTGTATCATTCACAGAAAATAAATAAGGAGCAGAGAGCTCCGCATCTGAGCATCATTCCTGCAAACAGTGCTGTCACCTCACAAGGGAGTGCTGCAGGTAATGCTGTCTTCCCCTCATCCCGCTGTGCTTGTTTCTGTCCGAGCTCCCAGGCCCCCAGCATAGGCTCTGCTCCTGGGCCTACAGCTCCCTGCCCGCCCTGCACTGAGTGGCAGCCTCCTGGACTCCACATGGCCTCCATGAAATCCACTCATAGGGACCTTCCATAAGGCCCCAAACCTTTCTGAGAGTCATCAGGCCTCCTCAGGCCCTGAAAGGGGGCTATCTGCAGCCCGCAGCACCGCCGTCCCTCACAACAGCTGTGCTGACCAGGAGGGCCACTGGGTGGGGCCTGGCTGCACAGCTCCCTACCCGTGCATCACACCAAGCACAATGCCTTGTACAAGCTCAGAGGTCATTGATAAGGAAGAACAACTTCATCTAACAGAAAATGCGTGCATGCAGCTCTGATATACTGCCAGCATTTTCAATATTAAAAGAGGAAATAAATAACTAGCTATAAATGGAAAGGAACTTCACTAATTAAAATACCTGATTGTCTATTCTGATCTTGGTATGAGGACAATGTGCCAAAAATATCCCTTTAGAAGATGCTATTTTTTAAGACTGTTTACAGACACACAATCTCAACTGTATAAAGGTCTAAGTAGTTACTCTGGGCTCCTGTCTCACTATAATTGGGTTATTTTCCTCTGAGAAGAACCAGACAGAATTCTGGTGAAGTGTGGTTTCTGTAGTTCCCAACCCACAAAGTGAAGCTCTAAGAACACTACAAAGAGGCACAAGGCACCTTCTGACCTAAGGAGTTTATTATCAGCTGCAGAATAAGGCAGTTACCTGGGAAGTTTAGTAAAACAACATGAAAAGCCACAAGGCATCACCAGGTGCTGCCAGATGAAAGGCCAAGTGACAAATACTCAGAGCACATGAGCCAGTTTGGCTTTGCAGAGAAGGGACGTCCAGGACAACCCTGGCTCTGTCCGAAGAGGAGACACAGGCTCTCAGGAACGACTTCCACCAGTTTCGCAGACAGCACCATGTGCCTTACCATGAAGCAGCACCACCCGGTTCCAGGCGATGAGGTTGCTGTCAACCTTCTTGTCGGAAAACAGTAAGGTTGTCATCACGTAATCGAGGAGCTGCAGAAAGAGCAGGAGCACAGTAGGTACCAGTACCGAGCAGGCAAGGCTCTCCAAGCACGCTGCCAAACCTGCCCTGAGCAAGCAGAAGGGCAGGGACAGGCTGCTCTCCAGAGACTGCCACCCAGTGCTTGCTGAACCCTAACAGGCCTTCATATGGGAAAGAACTTGACACATAAGAGAATAAGTGTGGGGTGCTACTATCATACCCATGAAGGATAAACACAAAGATCGCTTTTATTTAAAACAGACAGACTAATGGACTCAGAGTCAGTAAGCTCCTACCTCTGGGATGACACAGTATGTGGCTCATTCACTCAAGGCAACAGCTAGAACCCCATGGCTGTGTTGTGGCTCCTAGAGCAGCCTTGGGGGATGGGGGCCAGATGCACTGGAGCTGGCTCGGACCTGCCCACTTGCCTGCACCCTCTGCCCCACAGTTCCCAGGGTGGGAGCCCACCAAAGCTGTCACATTCTGTGCCCGCTTTGCCCAAGGAACCTCCAGAAACCAGCTCCACTTGGCAGCAGTCCCAGGACAGACGTCTAGGACATAGGCTACTGGCCTGCAGAAACTCCCAAAAGTCCATCTAAGTCAAGGGGCTCTGAGATACCAGAGAGCAACACAATGACTCTGCTTCAAATAACGGGACCTTCTGGTAAAAATGCTCAGGAAGAGAAATTCAAGATGGCAGCATGAGAGGTGAGACAGAGAATTCCTCCCAAAACCACATATAGTGTGAAAATAGTTAATACAACTAGCCCTAAAATAGCAACAGGAAAGAAGGCTGCACCAGACTGCACAGAGACCTCACGAACAGAGCAGATCTCATAAACAGGGTAACATAGGAAAGCCTTGATCCGGCAGGACCCAAGCCCTTCCCCCACCCCAGCTCACCGGTAGGAGGAAGAGACGTCGGAGCAGGGAGTGGGTGGAAGCCTGGGACTGCTGAACACCCAGTCCTGGAGATCTGCTTTGCGAGCAGAAACCTACATTGTGTGGTGCTCTGGAGGTTGCTGGGGTTGGGGAGCTGGGACAGGCAGAGTGCTTGAGAGACTGAGATTCCGGCCGTTTGTGGAGGACAGGGATCCCCACCAGGCCACTGTGTGTCAGAGGAAAGGAGCGCGGTCTGAGAGGCTTCCTAGCAGCGAGAGGGCTGCTGAAGGGGCAGGGTTTGGATGGAGCTTGCTGCGCCTGGGAGGGGAGAGCTGGACAAGGTTGTCCGGGCACGCTCTGCCCAGCTGGTTGGGAACTTTGAGGAGCTTCAGGCGCCCCATCCCCCTGGCTGCCTACTCAGCTCCGAGGCCCCCCATTGTGACATGAAGCCTGCTGCACCTTCCTCCTGGCCTGTTGGCACCTGCTCACAAACTGGCAATCACTCTGCTGGCATCAGGCCAGCCAGAGGGAGGCCCTGCCTACAACTGCTAGAGACACCAAGCACAGAGGCTTACACCTGTGTGCTTGGCCCACTGGCTCTGACAGTGGAGACGGCACTGCAGCCAGGAACTAGGAAATAGCTCTTTCCTCCCCCCCAGGCACCAGCTCTGCTCCCCTATGACCCCCAGCCTCACTCTAGGGGCTGAGCAGCTCCAGAGACTGGAGCTTCTGGGGACAAGAGGGCACCACATAGAATTATGAAATGTCAAAGGAACCTGGTTCAGACCAAAATCTCACAAACCCCAGAAAAAGGGCCAAATGACACTGAACTCACCAATCTTCCTGAAAGAGAGTTTAAAATAAAAATCATTAACATGCTCAAGGAGGAACAGAAAAATATTCAAGAACTCAGAGATGAAGAACTCAGAGATTCAATCATTAAGAAATTCCAAATCTGAAATAAAACATACAATGGACGGATTTAAAAGCAGATTAGATGTAGAAGAAACGGTAAATGGAATAGAAATTAAAAGAGGATTACAAAGAAGATGAGGCACAGAGAGAAAAAAGGATCTCTAAGAATGAAAAAATATTGAGAGAATGGTGTGACCAATCCAAATGGAACAATATCCGCATTTTAGGGGTACCAGAAAAAGGAGAGAGAAAAAGGGATAGAAAGTGTTACTGAGGAGGTAATTGCTGAAAAATTCCCCAATCAGGGGAAGGAGATAGTCTCTCAGGCCATGGAGGTACACAGATCTCCCAACACAAGGGACCCAAGGAGGACAACACCAAGACATATAATAATTAAAATGGCAAAGATCAAGAATAAAGACAGACTTTTAAAAGCAGCTAGAGAGAGAAAAAAGATCACATATAAAGGAAAACCCATCAGGCTATCATCAGACTTCTCAACAGAAACCTTACAGGCCAGAAGGGAGTGGCATGATATATTTAATGCAATGAAACAGAAGGGACTGGAACCAAGAATACTCTACCCAGCAAGGTTACCATTTAAATTTGAAGGAGGGATTAAACAATTTTCAGATAAGCAAAAGCCGAGAGAATTTACCTCCCACAAACCACCTCTACAGTGCATTTTGGAAGGACTGCTATAGATGGAAGTATTCCTAAGGCTAAATAGCTGTCACCCAATGGATAGACAAAGAGTACAGAATATGATACCTAACATATAAAGAATGGAGAAGGAAGAAAAAGGAGGAAAAAAAAACCTTTAAGTTGTTTGTAATAGCACACTAAGTGAGTTACATAGACTGTTAGATAGAAAGGGAATTACCCTTGAACTTTTGGTAACCACAAATAAAGCCTGCAATGGCAATAAGTACAATCCAAAACGACCCTAAATGTAAATGGTCTGAATGCACCAGCCAAAAGACAGAGTCACTGGATGGATAAAAAAACAAGACCCATCTATATGCTGCCTACAAGAGACTCACTTCAAACCCAAAGACATACACAGACTGAAAGCAAAGGGATGGAAAAAGATATTTCATGCAACTAATAGGGAGAAAAAAGCAGGAGTTGCAGTACTTGTATCAGACAAATTAGACTTCAAAACAAAGAAAGTCACAAGAGACAAAGAAGGACATTACATAATGATAAAGGGGTCAGTCCAAGAAGAGGATATAACTATTATAAATATGTATGCACCCAACACAGGAGCACCTACATATGTGAAACAAATACTAATGGAATTAAAGGGGGAAATAAAACGCGATGCATTCATTTTAGGAGACTTCAACACACCACTCACTCCAAAGGACAGATCAACCAGACAGAAAATAAGTAGAGACGGAGGTACTGAACAACGTATTAGAACAGATGGACCTAATGGACATCTACAGAACACTTCATCCAAAAGCAACAGGATATACATTCTTTTCAAGTGCACATGGAACATTTTCAAGAATAGATCATATACTAGGCCACAGAAAGAGGCTCAGTAAATTCAAAAAGATTGAAATTGTACCAACCAGCTTCTTAGATCACAAAGGTATGAAACTAGAAATAAATTCCACAAAGGAAATGAAAAAGCCCACACACGGAGGCTTAATAACATGCTCCTAAATAATCAATAGATCAATGACCAAATAAAAACAGAGATCAAGCAATTTATGGAGAAAAATGACAACAATAATTCAACACCACAAAAATCTGTGGGACGCAGCAAAAGGCCAACCTAAGAGGGAAGTATATTGCAATACAGACCTACCTCAGGAAAGAACAATCCCATATGAACAGTCTAAACTCACAATTAACAAAACTAGAAAAGAAAGAACAAATAAGGCCCAAAGTCAGTAGAAGGAGGGACATAATAAAGATTAGAGCAGAAATAAATAAAATTGAGAAGAATAAAACAATAGAAAGAATCAATGAAAGCAGGAGCTGGTTCTTTGAGAAAATAAACAAAATAAATAAACCCCTAGAGAGACTTACCAAGAAAAAAAGAGAGTCTACACACATAAACAGAATCAGAAATGAGAAAGGAAAAATCACTATGGACACCACAGAAATACAAAGAATTATGAGAGAATACTATGAAAAATTATATGGTAACAAACTGAATAACCTAGAAATGGACAACTTTCTAGAAAAATACAACCTTCCAAGGCTGACACAGAAACAAACAGAAAATCTGAATAAACCAAGTACCAGCAAGG